GCCATCCCGTGGCGGTGTTACCCCAATTGAGGTTGCGGTGTTTCCTGTTTGTAGCGTGATAAGTGATGAAACTCCAAAGACACGCTTTATTTATGTTCGTAGATGTTCCTAAGTCGGGAATAAGCAGCTTATTTGATTTTTTACTTTATATTTTTCATGCATCCCGACCAAGCACTTGCCAGCTGTATAAAACTGGCAAACAGCTGATGAACCTATACCTATTTAGGTGTCCATTACCGATTATTTGCGAAAATTACCACTTACCGACAGGAAACTCATCGCACACGATCTCTGAACAATTAAAAGCTTTCGTAGGAATGGGTTGGTTAACATCAACACCGGTGGCGGGGTTACCCACACAATTTGTAGGCAGCAAATATGCAAGGTATTTTCAAAAGTCGTGATACATTAAAACCTTTTAGGAGCATGCCTTAAATAAGTACCTAAAACACGTGAGAAAATGTTTAAATATTGTAACCAAAACAATAACTACCAAGAGACTTCACACATATTCTCTCATTTTGGCGAAAAGCTTAGGGGGGCGGTGTTACCCCCGCTTCCCCTAGAAATTTAAATTTTGAATTTTATTATATATAATTTTCATAATTTTCAAAACTTTGAAAATCCGAGATAACAGTTTGATAGCGCAGTCTATTTTGAGTCCTCTCATGCAAAGAAATTAGATCTAGCTTAAAAACTGAGCTCTTGAGAGCGATTGCCGTGGTTCAATGTTTTGCGTCGAAATCGGCCGAACATGACGTCACTCTGACGTCATTTCCGGCCGATCTATGGTAGCTACGAAGTTCATATTTTGACATGAGCCGTCAAATTAATGCAGCCGAAGGTACTGCAAGTTTGGTGTCGATACGTTAAGCGGTTTGGAAGTTATTGCAGAAAGACGGGAGGGGGCTATGAATAATAGCCCCCCCCCCCCCCCCGCCCCCCAGTGGGGCGCGGGTTAAGAACATACATGTATACGAGTTAATTAAGAAGCAAGAACTTTAAAGCCTTTATCTGATAAAGGCTGATGAAAAATGAATGATAAAGTTTATCATTCATTTTTCATCGTTCTTCAGCCGACATCTAAGGGTCCAGCCGCAACAGGCAGTAGGAAGTAGACGAATGTTGTGCAATTAGTTATTAAAAATCTATGTTTTCTTCGTATGCCGTTATGCTTGCCATGCGGTCGTTTGTCGGTGTCGCCGGCCTCGGCCGTATGTCTGTCATAATAGTCTGTCACTGGGTGGGCCGCGCTCGGCAGGCGGTGGTGACGACTCGCCTGGAGGACGGCTCCACGCACATCGGCGCCTCCTACTTCATGGCCTACCACACCATCCTCAAGGTGTCGCAGGACTTTTACGGCGCTCTCGAGTGGGCCAGGAAGATCACCGACAAGATGACCGAGGCGCTGAACGCCGTTACCGGAGGCACCGACCCGCAGCAGGTGTTCCCCTACAGGTGATAACGGCACGTGTGCCCCTACAAATATTACCCTACAGGGACCCCAGTTGGTATTTCATTTTATGTACGAAAAGCGGTAACTTGTTTAAAAATGTCACCCATTTCGGGGCTGTTTGATTTCAAGCGAAACGCTTAAAAAATAAACTAAAAAGTTAAAACAAATAACTTTTATTTATTTTTCGTGATTCATTAACGCCTTTTATTTTCATCTGTCCTCACAAAATATCAGAACCAGGCGATGCTGGCTGGCGTTGCTGTTGCCTTCGTCAGTGCACCACCGCGCCAATGACTGCCACCCGTGTCCGACGGTCCACCGACAATCCCCCTGCGCTGAAATCTCTACCTACGATATCAACTAACGGGTAGTACCTGACCATGTGGTCTGACGTATTACAGCGTGTTCTACGTGTACTACGAGCCTACCTAACCCTGTGGTCTGACGCATTACAGCGTGTTCTACGTGTACTACGAGCAGTACCTGACCATGTGGCCGGACGTGATGCGCTCGCTGGGCATCTCCGTGGCCACCATTTTCGTGGTGACGTTCCTGCTGATGGGTCTGGATCTGCACTCGGCGCTCATCGTACTCGTCATGATTGTCATGATCATCACCAACCTGGGTGGCATCATGTACTGGTGGGACATCTCGCTCAACGCCGTCTCGCTCGTCAACCTCATCATGGTGAGGCTGCAGGGCCAGAGGGGTATAATGTCCTGCTCCTGAGGCTGCAGGGCCAGAGGGGTCCTGCTCCTGAGGCTGCAGGGCCAGAGGGATATAAATAGGGCCCTGCAGCCTCAGGACATTATATCATATAATGTCCTGAGGCTGCAGGGCCCTAGCCGGGAGGGATACTGTCGAGACATAATCTAGGTAATGGACGGGGTCCTTAAATGTCTCCCGGCGGCTGAGGCCAAATAGGTATGAATTATTATTGCAGCTAAAACAATTTAACGATCACACTCTCTTTAGAGTTCTCCTTTTCTGCTTACCTACATGAAAGGCTGCAAAAACATCCGATGTGTGTTCCGCCTCCTCAGCACCTTCAGCATTCGTGTACCGCATGTCAACGGCAGATGACAGCCATTTTATCTGCTCATGCTGTCAGCCGTCCTCTAACTGCACGACCGTCACCTACGCGCTGTGGCACCCGTGCCTGTACCGTGACCAGGCTGCCCTGACCCGTGGCGGGCTGACCTCCGGCCAGTGTCCGGCCATCCTCTGTCTCGTGGCTGACCCGCTCTCCCTCTAACCCCTGACCTGTCCGTCCACCGGCAGGCGGTGGGCATCTCTGTCGAGTTCTGCAGCCACATCACCCGCGCGTTCGCTGTCTCACTGAAACCCAACCGCACCGAGCGAGCCAAGGAAGCGCTCACCAGCATGGGCTCCTCGGTAAGGCGGCCACGCCCCGGCCAGAAGTGCCTCGGCCGGTCCCCGGGCGCTAATCTGCACCCCGGCCGGCAGGACCATTGTTAAATCGGGCTCACTCCTGATTTGTTATTGAGATCTTTAGTTCGTGCATTTGTCTAGAGAGCCAGTTGACAGCGAATTAACTACAATAGTATTCAAATGCGTGTTTATTACACTGACATCAAGCTATTTGTTCAAGCTGGCAGCGCAGGAAGGCTAGTCCATTGTTAAATAAACGTCGTTTGTTTTTACACAGGTTCTCAGCGGCATCACTCTGACAAAATTCGGAGGAATTATTGTGCTTGGGTTCGCTAAGTCGCAAATCTTCCAGATCTTCTACTTCCGGTGAGTGTTTGCTGATGACAGTTATCTACCTATTCGTAAGAGCCAGCTGATACTGATGAAATAATGCGTTAAAATACCGATGGGTGGCCACGAGAAACGGCATGGCTACGTATTGCGGAAAATATCAATAACCGAATGTACCTCAATAGTTATGTGTCTTAGCCTTTCCTACCTGACCTTTCAAGTCCGGTCGGTTCAGTCCTTGAGTGACGCGGCTAGAGAAAGTCCAAGTCGATGACTGGAATAAGCACACATGGCCACCCTGACCCCAACATTACCAATCAGGGGCCTCTTGCACCAAACTACCTAGCTAGGTAAAATCGAAAAACCGTTTCAGAATAAGCTAATCTAACGGTGGTAAATTTGTTTGTAATAGCCCAATACATAATCCTACATGTGCTTGCTAGATTTTGCACGCAAATTGTTACATTTGAGACTTGGACTGGGTATACGATGCAAAATAATCCAAACATTGGTGCAAGAGGATTTTGGTGCAAGAGGCTTCTGAATGCAATTCTAACGAGTCGGTGGTCATGTATCGCTCTGTCAAAACGTTTAAACGTGGAGCCGATGTCAACATTTAGCGAAATCAAAGCTTTATGAAATGATAACGGCTGCTAGTGCTGGTAGAGCTGGTTATAATGCTACGGCTGGTTGTTCCTGGTTGTTACTGGCTGGGTGACCACGGCTGCTGGCGCTGTTTGCAGAATGTACCTGGGCGTGGTGCTGGTCGGGGCGACCCACGGACTCATTCTTCTACCGGTGGTGCTCAGCTACGTCGGTAAGTCACCGACTGACCTCCGAGAGCCGCAGTCTGACCCCGGGAAGTCGCAGTCTGACCTCGGTAAATTACGGACGAATTGGGCTGTAGTTACGTCGGTTCTTCAGACTGGCCTTGGGAAGTAACGTACCTGACTCCGGTAACTCGCGGTCTAACTTCGGTAATCGGCAAGTGTCGCAGTCTGACTTCTGGAAGTCACGAACTGACTTCAGTAAGCCACAGACAGAGTGGCACTCTGCCACCACCTGACACTGACGGCGCCCGCCCCGTCCCTGCAGGCCCGTCCGTGAACCGGTCCTCGCTGAAGGCGGCGCGCGAGGCAGAGGGCCTCGCCAAGAAGGCACGCGATGCCGAGGCTGCTGCAGATATGAAGGCGCGCGCTGCCGCCGGACTCGCGAAGGAGTCGCCCCAGGTAAGCAATAATTTGTCGCTAGTCTTAGCATACAAATGACATCTGATTCGTCTAATGTCAAGACTGATGAGCGCAAGACGCCCAGGGCTTTTGTCGCAGCTTACAGTCGGTCTTTTCTTTTCACTAGCCAGCCGATCATGACAAACGTCACGAATTGATCGTGTAAATTCCTCCGAACCCAACGGTGTGGTTTATTGAGAACCTCGAGGCACGCAGCGCTCTCCGCGCTCACAGCGCGCTACAGCCTAGCTGACGGCGCCGCCTCCGACCCCACAGAGCCGCGGGCCGCACAACAATCAGCCCACGGAGCACACCCACCTGTGATCGACCGGCTCATCTGACCCGACCTCGCCGCTCGGCCGCCCGGGCGCGGCCCCGGGCGGACGCCTGATGGACAGACTATTTATACTGGTGTACTCGTAACCGAATGTGATTATCGAACGTGTATTTAATCTGACGTGCCACGTGAGGGCCGTGGTCGGTGAAATGTATAACTTGACTCATAGTGCGTAATAAACTGATCAGTGCAATATTTGTGGAGCTGTTTGACTCAATCCGTAAAGCGAGGGAAAACTATCAACTTACACAAGGAAGCGGTTTAGGAGTTTTATTGAATACCATTCTCTATCACATACTACCCACATGACCAAGCACGAACGCCGAGTACCAAACAAAGAAGGCGGGGGCGACGCTTCGGATCGCCATTTCACGCTCTCCGGCGCCCGGTGTTCGGGACATGCACGCGCCGCATCAGCTCACACACTCTGTGCCGAACTAGGGTCTCAGATCGTCAGTAGCACGATAAAATATAAGTCTTCATAAATAACTGCCCACCCGCACCCCGGGGTGCTGTGCAAAGACTCCAACCGCTACAGAAGAGCCACGCATTCGACAGAGCCCCGCCTGATCACACGCATTTGTGAGAGAGAGAGAGAGATGTTACATCCGCGAATGCCCGCCCGCCAGAGCCCACCATTCGTGTGTAAATATAGACCCCAAGCGACGCAATTTGCCACATATCCCGACAGAATCCAGACGAGTCGCGTTCGGTGCGCGCTGACCACATCACCACCCACCGGAGCCACAGGTTCAGACGGCCTCACGCCGAGAGGAATGGCGCGCACTTGGAGTGCGCCGCGGCGGCGGTCCGCGGGCGAAGCTGAGCTTCCGACGCCGGTCGACAGGCGGCGCCCCTACTGCGGCGTCTTCTCCTCAGTCACTGTGGGCGGAGGCGCGCCGCTCTCGGCCTGCCGTTTGGCAGCCTCCGCCTCCTTCAGCGCCTCGTCAAACGACTGGGTCGAGTTGCTGCGCGACGAGGTCACTTTGCTCTGAAACCGCGCCCGGAGGAGAGGTCACGGACCGCGCACCAGCGACCCAACAGGCCGGTCACAAAACATTATAGAACCAGTATAACGCCTTTTGGGGCGACTAACGGAGCGAGCGAGAGGGTGAGCCTTGCACGTGCGAAATTACGAGGGGGTACCTCCAACTGAGTTGTGCACGGCACCCTACTAACCGGTCTCTAGCGATGTGCCAAATTTGAGCACAATCGGCCCAGCCGTTCTCGAGATCTGGAAGCGGCACCCTGCACGTGCGAACGTGCAAAATGGGTCCCAACTGACTTTTGCACGGCACCCTACTAACCGGTCCCTAACCATGTACCAAATTTGAGCGCCATCGGTCCAGCCGTTCTCGAGATCTGGAATCGACCCCTGCACGTGCGCACGTGCAGCAGCACCTCAACTCTGGCACATGGATATGCATTGCATAGTGGGTGCCTACCTACATGCCAACTTTCAGCGCAATCGGCCAAGTAGTTACCGAGATATTGCAACAATTACAACAGTGACACCTCTTCGTTTTGCACGTGGCACGTGCATAAGGGGTCACCCACATGCATCGGGAATAGTCCAATACTTGGTAGAAGGAATGAAGCTACCCTACAAAAATTACCGCATGTAAATCGGTCAAGTGGTTGCTGAGATATAAGCCTCGCAAAAGCGTGACCACGGCCGGCCGGCCGCTCATACTCAGAAATTTCCGTTAATCTAAGGAAAGACTACGCTCGCTTCGCTCGCTCCGTAATAATCAGGAGGTTTGCCCCTATCCAGAACACATAATTGATAGCGTCGTTATCGTGCCAAGACCAGACGTTAAAGGCTGAAACAGACTCTTTCCGCAGTCAGGAAATCGCACGCGAGAGCCTATTCAAATGCATTGTAATCCTTCCCGCATCAATCGCATGCGGGAGGTGCGTATGCTTGCTGCGAGCGTGAGTTACTATATTTGAAAAGGCTCTCGCATGAGAGTTCCTGACAGTGGAAAGAGTCTGTTTCAGCCTTAAAGCGCAAATCCCGTTCGGGCTCTCGGATAGGATTCTGGATGAGCTAAGAATAGTACGCAGAAGCAAGGCCTGTAGTACGGACGCACGGGTAGAGGAGCGGAGGCACGACAGAGGCTCCTGAGGAGCAGGTCACTGGAGCTGGTCGCCCGAGAACGGCGGCGGGTCGGTAGGAGCAGCAGCAGGAGCCGGCGGCATGTATTGGTTAGCCGGGCCGAGACTCATCTGCAGCGACGAGGGCATCGGAACACAGTTCTGCCGGTGGAGGGACTGTGAGAGGGAACACAGTTCTGCCGGTGGAGGAAATGTGAGAGGGGACACAGTTCTGCCGGTGGAGGGACTGTGAGAGGGAACACAGTTCTGCCGGTGGAGGGACTGTGAGAGGGGACACAGTTCTGCCGGTGCAGGGACTGTGAGAGGGGACACAGTTCTGACGGTACAGGGACTGTGAGAGGAAACACAGTTCTGCCGTTGGAGGAACTTTGAGAGGGAACACAGTTCTGCCGGATAGGGACTGTGAGAGGGAACACAGTTCTGACGGTGGAGGAACTGTGAGAGGGAACACAGTTCTGACGGACAAGGACTGTGAATGGGAACACAGTTCTGCCGATGGAGGAACTGTGAGAGGGAACACAGTTCTGCCGGTGGAGGGACCAAGAGGCGAGAGTGAGAAATGAGTGCTAAATGAAGCGAGTTGGTGAGTGACTTTGTGTGCATTTTTTCTCCGGCGTCAGGAAGGCAAAGGCTGGTAAGTGAGTGGGTTCGGCCAGACAGTGAGACTGAGGAAAAATTAGAAAAGTCAGTGAGATGACAAGATACGGATCACCGAGCAATGGCGCATTATGTACACGGATTTAGTACCAACATCGGCCTAAGTAACTCGTAACGCGCGTTCCCTCTCCTAATTTATCTGCGGTCCGTGAGGCGACATCACATCGGCTTGAAGTGAGCCGCAGCGACTCGGCAGAGGCAGATAACGCCCACCGCTTTAAAACGAACTGAAAGCCGATGGCTTTTCGGAGAGTTGTGAAAATGTCGTTAGATAGAGACGGACGGCTCAAACGGATCTCGAGCGACAGCTCAATCGATGGAAGGATTGAGACGGACGAGTCCCGCCCGAGCGTCCCATGACATTTGAGACGGGAGCACATGTGGCCTCAGTGCAGAGGTGGCCGTCGTCGATAAAGCGAGCCACCAGCCGGCGGGACAGCGGTCGGCCATTACCGGAGCGGTCAGGAGCCGGCGGCCGCGGCGACAGACGGCAGGCGACAGGACGGGGACGCAGGCCCCAGTGGCACACGGACTGTGTGCCATCGGGGCAGCGCCGGATAGCCGGAAACGAGGACCAACGGGGACAGAAGCCCTCCCTAACACACCCAGGGAGACAGTACGGGAGACACGGGAGGCGTGGGACCAAGCACGGCAGAACAGGAGACATAGGACTGAGCATGGATGACGGGCCCCTAACACACGTCCACCTCCACTCGGTTATATCCAGCCACGCACCAGATCGGTGTAACAACATGGCGGTCACTACCGCTATTAGCAGCTCAGTTGTCATGGCAAACAATCCTAACGTGATGGATTAGCATTCACAAAGTACTATTATGTGGCTTTCGCCCAAAATTACCAGACACACGTCGAGAAATGCGTGCGTTCGATAATCTCTCGCAGCACGTGATCAAAAGCGGCTTATGACACCGCCTGGACGTGTCAGCACTACTACCGAGCAATTCCAGCACCTGCGCAGAAACGTCCACTCTCGGCTGGTCTTTTATCGACCGGCGAGAGCAGATCAGCGGCAGACCGCCAATTACGCGGACATTATTACCGGCCAGCGACACAGGCGCAGCGGCCCATACGGACAGGGAGGGGGAGCGGGAGACAGGTAATGGAGAAATATGGAGGGGCCCATCAGTGGAGAAATATGAATAGCAATTGGGAAGGAGAGGAAAACGGATGGGAAGCGAGTTTAGGAACCCTAAGGTAGATACTAGAGGTATCTAGTATACTAGATACCTCTAAGATACTAGAGGTATCTCAGTCTACCTTAGAGAGAGGTAGGTAGAGAGCGCAGGCGAGAGGGATAGACGAAGAGTGAGAGAAGAGAGAGCTCCTCTCTCCCTCTCTCCATACACAGTGCACGCAGAGGTCACAGCGCGCCGAGTGAGGCCCTCCCGGCGGAACGCCCCGCGGTAACAGGTACACACGGACTGCACTGGTCAATTCAATGGTAGAAAGTGACAACCATGAGACCGAAGGCTGAGGTCGGCAGGGCAAGCAACGCACGGAACTGGCAACGCAGAGGACTAACGTCCAACACCATAACCAATGTAAATAAGTTACAATAATCGGGGCATTAGAAGCCCAGGTTCCACAGCCCTCAAGGCCTACAACACAACATCGATAACAGGAACGCCACTACAGAAGCTAAGCAGTCAGCACACACACACACACACATCCCCCTTTATCAGCTGACTCCATGATATCCACCAATACTCTCCACACCGCAGTGAACACACGCGCACAGCCGGACGGCGCCGGCGTAGGGCCGGCTACCGGACCCCGGGACCCTCAGTACAGTGACCCCGGCCGGACCCCGGGCCCTCTCAGTACAATGACCCCGGTAGGACCCCGGACCCTCTCAGTACAGTCACCCCGGAACCCGGGCCCTCTCAGTTCGATGACCCCGGCCGGACCCCGGGCCCTCTGAGTACAGTGACCCGGCCGGGCCCCGGGCCCTCTCAGCGCAGTGACCCTGCACCCCCGGACCCTCTCAATACCGTGACTCCAGGTCGGACCCCCGGATCCCCTCAGCACAGGCCGGATCCCGTGACCCTCTCATTAGTGACCCCTGCCGGACCCACCTTCACCGTGGTGACCATGGTGCCGACGCGCTCCTCGAGCGATTTGACGGTGGGCGAGTCGCGCGCCTCGGTCAGCTTGGCGCCCAGGCCGGCCAGCAGACCGGACGCCTTCTCCGTGGTGGTCTTCAGCGCCGCCTCGGTCCGCTGGTAGCTGTAGGGGGGTGGGGCGGTCAGGAGAGGGGGAGGGGGATGTCAGGGAGGGGGGACAACTGGTGGCCGCTGATCACATAAGCGAGTGTGTTTTATCATACTGTTATAGTCATGGTACACATATACGCTGAAAGCAACGTCCAGGCAATCAAATATGATACACATAGGCTACCACAAAGTAGAATGATACAAAAAACGCTGACTTCCCTCCATATGAAAGCACACATGAGGACAAAAGTACCGTGACAAAGAACATGTGTTTGGGATTTAATCAATTGCAATCATTGACCTATAATAAGTATTATATACTTACTATAGGTCAATGATTGCAATAGAGAACATTTTCATAGCGTATTGGCACTGACAGCCAGGAAACGTCGAAAACACAACTACACTGTCAGATAGGTAGTCTTCAAAAGTTGCAAATTGCTACAAAGTTAAAAAATTACTCATTACGCGTGTGTGTAAATTGGGGGACACGGATGTGCTCTTTTGTGTCCAAGCCGTTAGTCTAATAACATCTCACTAAAAGCCACTACATACAAGACTTAAACGAGAAGTAAAACTTAAAAGCGATACTGAGCAATGCAAAGATCCTAATGAACTCGTGCATTCATTCAACTTTCCATGAATGGTGTGATACCTGATACGGTCTACCCTGCATCTACGCTAGTTATACCTGTGAGTGATACGAAGCTTCAGTTACCATCTCAGACTATCCCCTACCGAGGGAGCACAGCAGGCTCGGGAGCGCAGCAAGCTCGCGAGCTCAGCGGCAGGTCAGGTCACCATGCTGACACTCACTCCACACGGCTAAAGCATGCGTGGCGGATGGGATCAGGCAGGGGTGTTCGCTGGGAGCATGCAGTGAGCGGGCACACGGATGTAGTTCCAGCCTCCCGGAGCCAGCGAGCGCCGCCGCTAATTAAGGTGGTGTCAATACAGAAATCCACATCGGGTTTCCCATGTTAACTGAACCTACTGCCAGGCAATAATGGTATAATGATAGGAAAAAACGACCATCATCAAAATAAATCAGTTGAAAACAAAACAAAGACTCAAACTTTTTGCTCGATTGAAAACAAATTTAAATCTAACACATTGAATTTCATTTTCTGGATTATCAAGATAGAATTTTGAACCGTTGAGCCGCTGTGCAACTATGAGCCACTTGTCCCGTGAAAAACCACGAAAAATGAGTCTCGCTCTGTAAGTGGACAAGAACCATTATAAGGGACATGAAAACTGCTTCGAGGAAGATTAGAAAACGTCAAGGAAATGTGAGCCGTGATATGTCATTGTCTTTTGTGATAATGAAACAAAACGAAACAAAAAACCCACTCAGACATCCCAATCAGATCGCTGAGTGCGGGGTAGTGCCGCTACGGCAGGGAGCGTCTGCGACTTACAGTGACATGGCCTTCTCGTCCTCAAAGTCCGCGCTGTGACTCTCCGCCGTCTCAGCGACCTCCTCGGCAGCGGTGTCCGCCATTGTGAAACCTCGGCTTCCTCTCAGACCGCGCCCCACTCACAAAAGTATAAACAACGCAGTCACACCCCCCTGTAACGCGAGCGCCAGGAAAGCCGTCCAGCCGGGCTGCTCAGAACTAGCAGGGCGGTTAGTGGATGGGGATGGTCCGGGAAAATCCCCGCTGAGCCGAGGGATTATTGTGACAAGTGTCCTGCATTGTCGAGAGCTTAACAAAGAAATAGTGAAATATCCCTGACTTACAGCCTAGCAGCTCAAGTGGTAACAGCGAAACGAGCCTCGAGGTTAGCTCACGAGCATTATTTGTCGCCGCATTTCATCAAGGGATATCGTCGTCAAAACGATGCATCCTCCGTCAAATTAATGGCCAGCGCGGCTTTATCGCTGGCGGCGAAGCCATGCAATAACCGGCGGGACCACCTCAGCGAAATGAGCGGCAATAAAAAGTGTCACACCGAATCAACCGCAATTGCCATTTCATAAACTCTACAGAATCAAGGGACATACCGCATGAGCTCGAGACTAACTTAGTCTAGGAGTCACATATTCAGTGAAAAAAAAAAAACATCTCAAAAGACGTCTTCATAAGACCCGACGGAAGTCTTCATCAAGCTAGGGCGACTGGCTGAGAAGTAATGCATCCTATTGGGTCCCAGTGGTGGCGAATCGCCGCGAGAGGAGCAACGAGAGAGCCGCACCTTCCGTGGCCGACAGAGTCTCTCCTGGAGCGGCACTGAACACAGGGCGTCACCGAACCTCACCGGAATTGGACAGTGGACACTGGGCAGATTCACCAGCGCGGGCACCAGAGTGTGCATTGCTGACACCACTGACACCCTGGTTCACATAGGGAGAGCGACACAAGGCCAGGAGAAATGAACGCGATATGAGTCCGCCTGAGGATACACACAACTCGCAGCCTGAACTCTGTCTGAGTGGATGGGATAAACATAAAAGAAAGGTCTCCCGCTATTGGAAACTTGTCCAGCTAATGTGTGACAGGAAAACTCATGAGAGTGTCTCCGAAAGACTACTTAAAACTTGAAGTTCGAACAGTTCGTTTTTTCTTTCTGACATTTTCATTACATGTGTGTCTTGTCCAACAGTTCCGCAGCTGACCAAGGCGCTACATGGCGTTGGTAATGGAAACATAGCTCGGCAGATGACTATCACAGGTGGCATGATCGGCACATGCTTGGCGACGAGTGAAGTGTGTGGACAGCATATCCGAAAGGTAGGTACCTGTATACGTGCTTTGGGAGCATCCAACCAGGGCTGGTGACTTATGATGCAACAACAGCACCAGCCGACGGCGGAGTGGACCAGTCACCACTCAGTTGGGCTGGGACGATCGATACAGAAACTGGCCAATCGAGGTTCAAAGCCAATCAGAAGCGCCGCCAGAGCACAAGGCGTCCATAATAGATCGGCAACATCAGCCGCAGACATTGGGAAATAACAGCCTCATAAATAGAGCATAACGGCCTTATAGAATATCAGTGGCTCTCATCTCTTGTGTAAGCTTCCTTGAAGCCGCCGAGTCTGAAATTGGCAATGTTATTTAACGATCTTCACCGCGGCATATCCAATCGATCCTACTATGTGTCAAATAGTCAATGGTGGACATGAGACCAATCAATGTAACTCACGGACACGTGACCTTTTCCAAAGAAGTTTCCAGAATCCTTGGCATCAACAGGAAACAGATAACATCAATATACTAATCAATCGATGGCATGACCAGTGGACCAATCAAAGCCGGTACGAGCAAAACGTCGCATGTAGAACATAACAGCGGCAGGAAATTGACAATCCTTAACAAAGTAAGCGACCAGCCGGAATGGCGGACAATCGAAAAACCTCTGATTCTAGCAGATGCCACCCAATATTTCTTTTTTAAAACTGATTGCTACTTCACCTTTCCAAAAGCCTAGACAGAATGCCTCCAACAACTACCCAGGAACAACTTACACCACCTGCCGACACCAAGCAACCACAGAGAGCTTTCACGACCAGTCCAACAGGACACCTTGTCACGCTCGGACCAGCCCCCAGGATCAGCGGCGGGCGGGGCAGAGGGACAGAGGCCGGGGGCGGGACAGAAGGGACCAGGGCCGGGACAGAAGGCACCGGGGCCGGGACAGAAGGACAGGAGCCGGGGCAGCAGCGTCCCAAAATATTTCGATTTGGGTGGGAAACGACATCCAAATAAAAATCATTTTGCACTCTCATCTCTAATATATAAGAGCAATTTTCCACTCCCAGCCTTACTGAGAATAAGCATTTGCATTGGGTCATTTTAATATCACATTTTACCTCATTATATAGAAATGTATGCCATTAATCTCTTTTCCACTCTTTTTGGGTGTTATATAACTGACTGGGGAATTTTCCACTCTTATTCCCCTTTTTGGAGAGGAATTTTCCCTCTGACACCCAAGCCGAAACACAATTTTGGGACACTGCGGGGCAGAATGGACCGGGGCGGGACAGAAGGACAGGAGCCGGGGCAGAAGGACAGGAGTCGGGGCAGAAGGCACCGGGGCCGGGACAGAAGGGACTGGGGGCGGGACAGAAGGACAGGAGTCGGGGCACAAGAGACCGGGGGCGGGACAGAAGGACCGGGGCCGGCTCACCACCCTGCAGTCCCGCGGCGTCGACTGGCGTCAGCCGACCCGAGCGGCGCCGCCGGCCATCGACCGGTCGACGCCGTGACGTCACCGAGCGGCGCGTCGTCCGGCCGCGGCGCACCGCCGGCCGACGGGTGCATGGAGGGGGTGCACGGAGGGTGCACAGGGGGTGCACGGAGGGGACGCCTCGCGCCGTGACTCACGAGCGCCAGTGACACCCCGTGGGGACCGGAGCGCTTCGTAGAGCTGGATACAATGTTCGTTAAAAGCAAGCATAATCGCAATAATGGACGCAATTCCTCTTATTTGTGAATTCGTATGTTTTAATTCCAAAATGGCCAAGTGATCGACTATGTATATTCGATTACACATGCACAGCTGAAATGGAAACCATGACGAGAGTCATACTGACAGGGAAGCGGAGCGACCAGCTTCAAAGGAAAACCGGGGTCCGTTCACGCCCCGAGAGCCCGTTTCGTGTACTGCGGGTCAGCCTAGCTGTACAGGCGACCGACTGTGCTGCCATCTATCGAGAGTCGGAATAACCACTGCTAGTGCAAGGACCGCAGCGCAAACTAAATTCACGAAAACTTACCGTCAGGACGCCATTGATGGAAAGAACGGTTTTGGATCTTATTATACCTACAACGTGCAGTTAGTATTTGAAGGTCTAGTAAATAAAGAGGGATGCATAAGAAGTGCATATCAGCGATGTGTGCCTCAGCTGAATGTTGTTGTTGTTGGACAGTTTCTGGCCCAAATCGTGGCTGATCAAACGCTGCACGATTGCGTGCTCCGACCGGAAGGCCACCCGGGCATTTAGCCTGAATTACGAGCTGACGGTTATGAAAAGTGGTAACATCCGTTACAGTACTTCTGATGAGCCCCTGAGGCTAAGCCAGCACTATTTCAATGGCGACTTGAGCCTCAGCATCTGCACGCTCCCAGTGCCATCACTCGTCCCACGGAGACATGCACGTGTAACAGGTCCCCCGGCAAGACTGCAGACTGATTGTCACACCAGAACAAAATTGGTTCATTGACTGGGAGCCAGCATAGAAAAAGGAACTAGTCCTTTGGAATAAGGTAAACTAGAGACAGGCCAGTATACAACCCAAACCACCAAATGTAGTGTTCAACCGTGTTAGTCCCGTCGAACCGTGTTAACAAGCCGTGAACAGAGTAGTTCCACCAGCACACGTCCGCGCGGACTGTGTTAGTTTTCACCGGGCCCCACCAAGAAAAACGGGGAGGGGGAGCAGGACTTACGCTGGCGTGTGCTGCGCCTGCTCCAGTTTCCCTGCCACCGCCTGATACCTGCAGAGAGCCAGACAGCGGGACAGCGGCCGCACAGCGCGTCAGACGAGCGGATAGAGAAAACAGAGGGAGGAAGGCAGAGGGCAGAGAGAGAGAGAGTGGGAGAAAGGAGTGAGGAGGGAAAGAGGAGGGGGAGTAGTGAGTGAGGCGTGAATCACACATTAACATCAATAGGGACATGTCAGGAGTACAGACGGACAGAAAACAAAAATGTTGGTCGTGGGAGAGTGAAAAGGAAGAGGAAAATATAAAACGGCAACGGAGAAAGTGGGGAACAAGGTAAAGATAAAGCCTGGAGGAGTACACAACGTGAAGATGGAAAAAGCAAGGGTCAGGTTAAGAACAAAGTATTGAGAAAGCAGAATAAAGCGAGAGGGAGAGAGGAGCTCCACCGTACCATAAGGATTAAGCACGCATAAGCGACTACACGCTACGGACAGACAGACAGACATAGATATGCCACGCTAGAGCGGCAGACCAACGTATTTGAGAGCCCCTCCACTCCCGCGGCTATGCCTATACCACTACAGAATATAAGTTCTGAAAACGGCGAGGTAAAACTCGGCAACAAACTAAAGATTTAGCTGCCAATGTCACGTCAACTTCACCGTCACCGCATTATATACAGGGAGCTCTGACAAAGGCGGCGACTTGAATAGCTTAGGAAACATTTCGTTCTACTTTCCATGGCAACCATGAATGAGTCATTTCCCTTGGGGCTGTAATCGCCAGTGAGCAGCCATGAAATGGCTTCCGAGAACAAAAGTAGTTAACCGCAGCGCCTACTAGAATACATCCTGAAGGAGTCGCTATCGGGTGATGAATGATGAGACCTTTGCGCCGCGTCTATGACCTCTAACAATCCGGGCAGATACGGGGTCTTCCGTCAACATATCCCGAAGTCTGGCTCCGATAAATCATAATAGGGCACCATCGATATTCAGCATTGATACAGGGGGGCACCATCGATATTCAGCATTGATACAGAGACCGTTGACACACAGAAGCATGCCTCTCAAAAGCGAGCTGTCCGGTCAAGCGGCTGTGCAACTGGTGGTGTCTTTGCTCGGCCAATGCGTGCTGCGGCCGTCACAGCAGTGGGGGGGGGGGGGGGGGGGGCTGCGATAGGGGACTGGCCCCGAGTCCTCCGCCTCCCCTGCTCACGGGCGTGCTGGCCGTGCTCGCGGGCGTGCTGGGGCCGTGCTGGGCGCCGCGGCCCGACCAACTCACGTGCCGCCCCAGCCCCACAGGCTGAGGCTACGCCATTAATGCAGCGGCAGAGGGAGAGAGGGGGCAGAGAGAGGGGGAGAGGCGGCCGGCGGCGGCGTCAGTCACAACAGAGGCGGGGCCACGGCCGACACCGAGCACCACGATAGCACCAGAGGGGGGCAGAAGCGGCGGTACACCCGGCACCAGCAGCACCAATAGCACCCAGCCCGGGTCACCACCGGGGCCGGCGGCTCAGCCTGGCGTCATATTGTATCTGTCCGACTCGGCGGTATCTGAGTATCTGGCTTCGACCTCCATGTATTTCTGAATTAATTTCTAGGTGTTATGAGCGAAAAAAAATATTCAGAGTATACGTGTCTCACCAGCAAATAAGCTACGTCTGCCTGGGTAAGTAAGCAGTACAGACTCACATAGCAGTGTCTTTTCATCTGGTTTTCATCTGGTTATAGTGCATATGATAATTAAATAATGTCTTTCTACTGCGTCGTAGGTCAATAGACGTTCATTTCAATTCAAGCTCTAGCTTAGATAGCTCACGGTACTACCTCATGTAAATGACACTTTCAATGAAGCCGTAGCTGATACTTCATACGTTGATCGGCTTTGCTATCACGTTGGACTGCGGAGTTCAAGTGAAGGACGTTAAAAAATGGAGGCATCGCCCACCCCAGCTAGTGGCGCGAAATTTCACAAAATAGAGCAATCAGCTCCGTAAGGTTAGCGGCGCTACCCGTCAATTGTGCAATCACTGAGAACTGAGAAGGGTTAGTTTCATCAGCCCGTGCCCATCTGAGGACCAACGAGTTAGCCCGCTCCATCCGTGCAATGCTGAGGAGGGCAGGGGTTCAGTTGGCTCCGCCCGTGCCCATCTGAGGAGGAATTAGAGTAGAGCTGCTTCATCCGCGCCATGAGAAAGCCAGTCCGTGTCAGCCGATCGTTCCACCGTCTCACATCTGTCAGCCAGAGAGCGGTTAGTCTTTCCCCTGACTCGGCCGCTCGGCCCGTCCGTCTCTGCCGGTCTGCGCTCACTGTTAGTCCGTGCGGCGTTAGACACTAGACAGCGCTGCGTTCTCCGTGCGCTACTCACAGCGGCGCTTCCGTGACCGCGTGCTGGATCTCGCTGATCGTGTCCGTCACCTTGTGGTACCTGTCGACGGCCGTCGGACACCGGTACAGGACAGCGGTAGAGCGGTACAAGACAGCGGTACAGGACAGCGACACAAGACAACGGTACAGAACAGCGGTAGAGCGGTACAAGACAGCGGTACAGAACAGCGGCACAGAACAAGGGTATAGAACAGCGGTAGAGCGGTACAAGACAGCGGTACAGGATAGCTGAGTACGAGGTACACAGCGTGTACACGGGGACACCGGTACACGAGAGCGGTACAGAACAACGGGAAACGGAACAGAACAGCTGAGTACACACCACAACGGTACGGGGCGTGTACAATGAACAACGGTACACGACAGCGGTGTAAGACAACGGTACTGAACAGAGGTACAGCGGTACAGGACAGCGGTACAGCGGCACAGAACAGCGGTACAGCGGTACAGGACAGCTGAGTACACACTACAGCCGTACAGGACGGCGGTACAGCGGTACAGGACAGCAGTACAGCGGTACAAGCCAGCGGTACACAGATACAGGACAGCTGAGCATAGCGGTACTGGGCGTGTAAACCGGCCAGCGGGACAGAATAATGGTACAGCGGTACAGAATGTGCACAAGGAAAGGCTTTGCAGTAGTACAAAATGGATCTATGTATAACTGGAAAACGGTTGAGAACGTGTACTACTGAGATAGTGGTACAGAACGCGGTCTACAGCGGAGTGCCATGTCATATTTGCGTCACAAAATCGCAAGACACAATGCACTGCGCACGGCTGAACTCAAACTCACATGTTCGAACAGATACATCCGAGCATGCAGTGACATGAAAAGGCGAGGCAATATGCCGGCGGCGCTGCGCAATAACAACGCGGCGCAGTTTGCAAATCAGAACGCACATCGCAACTGACGGCGGACAGATAAAGGAAGATCAGTAGCCGTGCTGGGATAATCTGAAAAAGATTAGGCTTAAAATACATCACTGTATTAGCTGGGCAACTAAGGCAGTATTATACAACGGCTTACCTATCCACCTGAAACTCAGCGTAAGACATGTGATAAATGTGTTAAACGTGTCCTTGGTTAAATCACGTCGATTATTCAGTCCCAGTCGGAATCGGCGTTCCTCGCCCGCATCTCCCTCCCCCCATCGCCTCCCCTACCACCCCCACCGCCACAGACTACCCTCATGGCCGTCCCTGCACCACAGACGGGCGACCAGCACAGCGGCGGCCGCACGCGCGGCCTACTCACGCCTGCGACTCTCGGACGTTTTTCAGGCCCTGGTTGACGTCGTCGGTGAACTCGCTCCACATGGTGATGCCCAGCTTGTGCTTCAGCTCCTGCGCCTCCTTAATCTTGGCCGACAGCGTCTCACGCATCAGCACAATGTCCTCCTCAATCTGTCGGCGGTGGGGCCATCACATCAGTAACTCGTCCCACATCTTACACCAACATTACAAGGAGCCATATGAAAATGAAATCGATGGGACAGCCAAACGAGCAATCATCTCATGCAAAAGTACTCGGTCAACCATTACACACCAAAGCACCGCAATGTTTGTTTTGTTTGTTTGTTTATTTATTGGGCTTCAGAGCCACAATGTTTGTCCACCAAACAACTACCCCATCCCTGTCCTCCCCCTCCCTCCACACCAACCGACTGGCGGCATTCACCCTGGCCAGGTCCTGCTTCCACTCCACCCTCCCTCTGTCCCTCTCGTGACCCCTCCTCGGGACGGCACTCACCCTGGCCAGGTCCTGCTTCCACTCCTCGCGCTGCCGCTCCTGCTCCTCCGGACTGAGGGCGGAGAACGCGTCCACGACTCCCGAGTCGGCCGAGGGCGAGGTGGCCGGCATCTCGGTGGCTGAGGGGACACGGGGAGGGGGATGTTAGTTGAAGGGAGGGAAACAATTACGGAGACTGATGGTCAGAGGAGACAGGGCCTGGCTCACCGCTGGCGGATTGGCGCTGCAGGTGTGCGTAGCCCAGCCAGTGGACGCGCGGAGAGTCCATAAACATCGTCCCAGTCACACTCCGCTAGCGAGGGCCACGCTCCGGTCACCCCGAGGGGGAGAGTCACACTACTAGGCTCGCCTCTGGGAGAGATGGGTCACACTCGGCGCAAAATTCCACAAGGGAGAGTCAATCCCAGAGCACCCCAACGATAGAGGGCTGCACTGCGCTCACACCTCCCTCGGCACACCGCACAGCTCCGACGAGCACGCCGCACTGCCCGGTGGCCAGCACCAGCCGTCCCTGTGTCTGGAGGAGGGACAGACACCCGAACACCCAGCCCAGGACGGCGGCCGGTCCCGCGCGCCGCCGAACAGTGCCGGCGGAGCGGGCTGCTCGTGTCACCGTCCGCAGATCGGGATCGATAGGTGACACCTGTGACCGTCCGCACCCGGGCAGAGCCGGTAATGTCTGGTGATGTAACTCAGGAGGTAACGGGAAGCACAACCAGACCAATGCCAATAATACGGCATTTAAATAGCCGATTTACTCCATCATATTTCATCAAAGTTTTAACAAACACATCGATTACCATACCGTTTGGCGAAAAAGCGAATTGATATTGAATCATATCTACATGCATACGTCCCTATCGAGTTATCCATGGCTGAATGAAGGACAACTTTCAAAATAAACAAAACACCAGACCGTGCTGACCCAGCTAATTTTTGCCCGAGAACCCGTGATGCAACGCGCACCGACGGGGGGCGCATATCCCCCCCCCCCCCCCTGAGGTTTTTCGCGGATAGCGGGAAAACCGCGGCGTGTAGCGCCGCGAAATTTGGTACGACTATTCTCTCATCAATTTTACACATGGTGTGCAAGTTTGAACCTCCTAACTTAAGTCGCAGGATGTTATTAGGTCACTAATAGCTACAATTTGTATATCTCGGAATTTTGATGTCGGTGACCTATGGTCAGGTTAATTTCGCGACCTCCCCATTATAAGTCAATGGGGGAAAAATCAACTCCCTGTTTTTACCACTAAAACGGGTCGGAATGGCCCCATATACCATACATGACTTCATATACGATCATCCTTCACTACCTTGAGGTCTGTTTTGCTGTTGGGCAGCTATAAGGTCATGTGACGTCATCAAAGGTCACCAAATGTTTTTTTGCCAATAACTCCGTACAGGAACAAGATACAGCCGCGCGGATGGTCTCATTGTGTTCAGCTCGTCAAGACGCATCGAATGATATACATGATGACCTCGAGGTCACGTGACCTGAGGTCAACCTTTGACTTTGACCTTTCGAGGTCAACATATATACCATTCGATGCGGATTGACGAGAGGATCACGATGATGCCCCTAGTTTTTTTCCTATCTTACTAATTCGAAAGTTATTCGAGAAAAACTCTCCATAACTAGCGCCGCCATTTTGACTTTTTCGACCCATGTGACGTCATCTTTGACCTGACCTGAAAATGACCTTATTAAAATTATAGACCTTGTCCGTGCGTATCCGATGCCGTTTACCGCTTGTCGCTATCTTGCTTCGTTCTCGAGATCTCAGGGGGAGGGGGGGCGGTCATCCGTCATCCGCCCCCCCCCCCCTCCCCGTCGGTACGAAGTTGGCGCAGCCCCCCGTCGGTGCGCGTGTTGATACGTTCAATTCTCTTACGCAATCAGCCGGAAATCGGGCGAAAAACGACACAGAACCACCACCAAAACACATGGAGAGACGCGCTAATAAGCAGCTCCCATTTCTGGCACCCCTTTCTGCTGGGCCGCCCTCGGCAGAGCGCTAAACCGGGTACCACCGACACAAGCTCGGTCTGGGGAGTTTTATGTTGACGGACGGAAGTGCTGAGCCGACACAGCTGTGATGTTTCCCCCAACCAGATCGAGAAAACGGACCGTGGCTCCAGTTTAGCGTAATTTGTGAAAGAAAAGAGTCCCGCTTGAATCACTTGTATAAATAAAGGTGCACATTTAGTGTTGGAAACTAGTGTTGGAAACTAATGACGGATCGTCAATGTTTACCGAATTGGTCCGAGTGATCAGCCGATGTGAATGACGCTGATGAGTTGAGATTACCACCGTGAGATCGGTACCGATCTCGTTCACACCACAAAAGACACGAGGGAACGCTGTAGTACCCACGGAAAACATCGGCAGTACAGGCTCTGCGACAGCCTGCCGTCCTGATGGGATCAGTTCTATCAATAGATACTGACGAGCTCAACAGGCAAGTTGACAGTGTGCCGCTGTTGACATTGCGGCCACTCTCATTAATTTAGTTCGGATACTGCAACAAACAGACATGTGCATGGATCCGAGAAAATGGATCTGGGATCTGCTCCCACGGATCCTGATCTCGGATCCGACGGAATCATAGATCCAGCTCTTTAATTTATGGAGAGATCCGCAGGGATCACAGATCCGAGTCTCATTTTTTGCTTGACATCCAGTGAGATCATAGATTCTCACGTATTTTTTTGTCAGCACATATATCCCAAAAAAGCACTTGTTTCAACTCACAAACGTTCTGTTTTAGTGATTTTATGTGATCGCACGTCATAATCCATAGTTCTATGTCACTTATTGGCATAGAAACCCTTTAAAACATAGTTTCAAAAATCAAATGTGGTGCATGGTGGGATCCACTCAGATCATGGATCCAGATCCATGTTCTTAATTTATCGTCAGATCATATGAGATCATAGATCCAAGATGTATTTTTCATGCCGGATCCGGTGGGATCATAGATCCCAACCTGTACTTTGCTTCGAGATCCACTGAGATCATAGATCCATCACTCGGGTCCATGCAGATGTCTGGTAACAAAGACCTGACTTATCCGCGTTTATTATCATAGGCCTGAGGCCGCTTGTGCTGGTGGAATAATACCGTAACAAACTGCTTCACTTTTCAGTCACATCGCACATGTTCGTTGCATCATCACACTTGTCATCTCCTTTGAGCCAGCTATGAGCTGCAAACGCGCCGCGTGTGGAATGTCTGCCATCCCACCCGCGGTTTGTTGAAACCGGATCCGGTCGTCCATACGGACGCCGGCGCGGCGCCGGGCGGCCCGACGCTGACTCACATTACAGACGGTCCTGTTCAATCCGGTGAGAGGTAGTTTCGGATTCGGCGGGGAGGGCGGGGAGGGGCGTCTGGTGATCGTTCGCAGTATGATGAATTTAATTAAATTGCTGACGTCCGAAGCGGTAGATCTGCGGTTTCAAGTCTCGACAACGCAACATGGCATTACAACATTGATATTGGGACATAAATCAGCCACTGTGCTAAAAGCACTACAGGCTAACAGCTCATTACGATGTTCATTTACAGTACGATATATTACGGTAGCTTTGTCTCACAAATTTGCATCACTAGCCGAGAAGTTTACATTCGGAGTGAGCAGCCGGCGTGACGAATCGTGACGAATAGATACCAGTCAGACCTAACACACTGCTCATTCTGCGCAATCCACCGCTGACTTGTTACCAGAGACTGCGTCGGGGGGACGGTTTAGGCTCCAAATGGCAATAACTCCGCAAAGTGACATTTTCGCAGGAAAGGTTTTTCTACGATAGGTGACATATGACACAAAGTTTAACATTAGCTCGCTTTTACCGGCATCGTATTTCTCTGGTCGAGACGATTCAAATGAACTATAACTTGACATTGAAAAGTCATTTGAAAAATCTGACTCAAGGTCAAAGGCATAACCTGACCTGAAGAAATAATGTTGCATACCAATAATCCATATCGTCGAGCTGAACACGTTAAATGTGTTTTCACCACCCTAGTATGTCTCTTTCAAAAAAATGTAGAAAAAAAAACTGATATTTACCTTTCATGGCCTTAGATAGCCTCAGGTGTCTAAGGTGGGGATAGGTCAGATTACCAAACCCTTGTCATCGCACACAAGGCCATACAGGGCCGAGAACCAGGGGAACTGGTAGCCCTGTTCGTCACTAGCAGCGCTATCCACGAGAGACAATCTAGGCGAGACCACCTCCCAATCCATATTTTGATTGTGGATTGCTCTAAGCTCTTAAATGTATAATACGATACAATGCAACGCATGCCTTTGATTGGTAGGTAATAGATATGCTTAACCTACTATGCATGATAATTCCCAAGTTACCCAGGATTGCCCGATCCATCAGATAGCAGGAGCCAGGCCTGGGCAAAAAAAAAACTTTGCTTAGCAGGAGTCACAATTATGTCAATACATCTAACAAAACATTTCAGTTAGGTAATTTATCAAACATAACAATTTATCGATCCTTTTCATGCCTCGTCCATAGATGTAATGTTAACCCGCGCACCGACGGGGGTCTGCGCCAACTTAGTACCGACGGGGGGGGCGGATGATCGCCCCCCCCCCCCTGAGATCTCGAGAACGAAGCAAGATAGCGACAAGCGGTAAACGGCATCGGATACGCACGGACAAGGTCTACAATTTTTACTAAGGTCATTTTCAGGTCAGGTCAAAGATGACGTCACAGGGGTCGAAAAAGTCAAAATGGCGGCGCTAGATATGGAGAGGGTTTTTCTCGAATAACTTTCGAAGTAGTCAAGATAGGAACAAACTAAGGGCATCATCGTGATCCTCTCGTCAATCCGCATCGAATGATATAGATGTTGACCTCGAAAGGTCAAGGTCAAAGATTGACCTCAGGTCACGTGACCTCGAGGTCATCATGTATATCATTCGATGCGTCTTGACGAGCTGAACACAATGAGACCATCCGCGCGGCTGTATCTTGTTCCTGTAAGGAGTTATTGGCAAAAAACCTTTGGTGACCTTTGATGACGTCACATGACCTTACAGCTGCCCAACAGCAAAACAGACCTCAAGGTAGTGAAGGTTGATCGTATATGAAGTCATGTATGGTATATGGGGCCATTCCGACCCGTTTTAGTGGTAAAAACAGGGAGTTGATTTTTCCCCCATTGACTTATAATGGGGAGGTCGCGAAATTGACCTGACCTTAGGTCACCGACATCAAAATTCCGAGATATACAAATTGTAGCTACTAATGACCTAATAACATCCTGCGACTTTCAAAGGCCTACGACATCTACTGTAGCTCTGGCACGGTGACAAGGTTGCAAAAAAGTGACTTGAGGTTGGGTCATTCAAAGTGACCTGGTGACCTGACCTTAAAAGTTAGGAGGTTCAAACTTGCACACCATGTGTAAAATTGATGACAGAATAGTCATACCAAATTTCGTGGCGCTACACGCCGAGGTTTTCCTGCTATCCGCGAAAAACCTCAGGGGGGGGCAGATATCCGCCCCCCCGTCGGTGCGCGGGTTAAAATTATGCCGTTTGGGAGGGGCAAATGCCCATTTTGCCCCCCCCCCCCTGGATCCGCCACTGAATATAATATTGTCAAAAAATATCCCTGAAATCTTCTTAAGACTTTATCTTGACATTAACCAACCAATAATTGTTTGACAGAAAAATGTCATACCTATACAGATTTGTCCTGGAATCTCGGTAGAACCGTTTAATGTCAAGTAAATACCTAACCAAGCTATATGGGAGCAACTAAAACCATTTCCTAAAACACTTACCTGGAGTAGACATCTTTTGGCGCGTTCACTCAAGGGCCTGTTGCAAATACAATGACCTGCTTTACAACCCTTCTGTAACTCTTTTTAGACAAGTTCACTGAATTCCAATGAGAAAACACCGGCTACCGATATGTGCGTTTATGTGAGTTCACGGCAAGGCTATACAAACCGTTCACGGCCAAGCTCCTGTGTTGACGTGTGCAAGACGTGTGACTCGCGGCTCTCGCTTGCACTGCGCCACAAGTCTGTTCAGGAAAATTGTGTTCCATAGCAGGACCCGCATCATGAACTTCAGATGAAACATCGGTTGCATAGCAACTTGGGATGGAAATGGCAGCTTTTCGATCATTATAGAGTTCAGTGTTTTCGATATACTCTGGTTTTGCGCTAGAAAAAGAAGGGTGTTATGCAACTTGCAATTGGTTATGTACGCAATGTTTTCGAGCATGCTCAACTGCAGACTATGCAGTATGCACGGTCATAGATACAGACTAGGCATACTGCCTTGGACTAGGCTGATTGGCACTGTTTTTTTGTAGTCGCGACTTAACGACCTTTGATGTTCTGCTGTAAGTCAATCTGGCGCAGTAAATTTCGATGTCGCTTGCCAAGCTTTTATTATTTGTATGGATGCTTAGATAATTAATGACGTAGAGAAATGCTCTCATTGATCAAAACAAAATTCATTGAAATATTACAGTTTTTGTGTGAAGTAACGTGAAACTTATTGATATTTGTATTCACAGAATCAAGCTTTTGAAAACAACGAAGATTTATGATTTGTGATTGCATAACTTTCAAAAAATGCTTTGGTCTTGTTTTTAAAAGTAAAAGTCTAATGACGTCGGTCAGATGAACTTTCTGGCTGATGCGCTCAAATAATATGTAACCACTGAACTCTATAATGTAACACACAGGCATTGAACACAGGCGATTTATATATGTTTAGATGCAAGTCTCTGAAGGTTTTTTTATTTTATAAAATATTTTAATTTATGGTTAATTCAGATACCAGGTACCCTAGTTGAAATTTGAAATAGTTGGGTGATTTAAGAGGCCGGGCTAATATTGTATATTTAAAGTGGTGCTGCTCTTTGCTCACTTGCCTATAGGTTCGGTTTAATCCAATTCAAAATGATCAAATTAATACCTCGCTTATGGGCAACTTCAAAAAGATATTAATATTTATATACACCGTTGATATTAATAGAAATTACTTATTAGGTACTTATTGTAGCTAAGCACGAATGTCACCAAAGTGATATTTTGTAATGTCAATGTTGATATCTTATCTGTTGTGCTCATTTTTGTGGAAACTTTAGATGCTGCATTTTTTATTGTGTTCAAGTTTGGACACATAAACATTAGTGTTTCAGGAACAATGAGTGATGAAAAATACTCGAGTCATTACAATGCTGCTTTGAATTCATCTTCACATTTACCCAACGGCCAACACTGCACTATTTGATCACAGATCAGCTATCTCATGAATTTGAATTGTGAGACTTGAATAGGGCCTGCAGTGGTCTATCGGTTTAAAAATCATTTGACATTAAGCAATGACTTTTTTGCTTTGATAATTTGAAGCATCTTAAAGAAACCCAGACCTCAAAACTGTTATTGATAATGGATGTCTATCTTGATCTAACAAAGTCTGTGATTGTACAGCTGCCTACTTGTTTCACCATACAGCCTGAGCCTGTCCTGTTGCTCACTTGATAGAGCATTGGAATCCCCATACTGAGAGAATGGGTTTGAATGGCTCCAGTGCTTGATATTTGACAAGATGGCCACTGAGTTGGTCTGGGGTTGGTAGGAGCATCCGCAGCCAATTGAAGTCATTCGAGTCATTCCAGCTGGACAGGCCATGTCCAGCTTTGAGTGGCATGTCAAACTCTCACAGCAAAATTATCCATTTCCTCATAGCTGTGCAATCATACGACATTCAGTAGAGGTCGGGGTCTTTGCATTTGCAACAAGCTCTGCTTAGCATAGGCTTCAGCTCTTTCAATCTGTCCAATGCCCATTCAAATATTTGAGCTTGATTTTAAAAATGGTGGCTGTTGCATTAGGGCTAGTGCACTGGCACTCTTTGAAAAAGGTAAATGCCCTTTTCCTCGGGGCCCTTTATCCCAGATCATTTAATTTAATATTTTCCCAAATCCAGTGCCAGTTGCACCCTTTAATTCACTATTGACCAAGGAGCTTGGTGATGAATTCATTTACTAGACCATGCCAGTAATTTTGTACATGAGCATTGCCATTTTCCTTTTCAGGTCACAGGTGTACTTAAAATTCAGATGGCCCCCTTGTGTCGGGAGCAGGGCAGTCATCTCCTGATTCAATATGTCTAATGGCCTCAGCAATCACAGCATCCATGACTCTCGACACTTTCAAAACATTGACGTGCACAGGCCTGCTGGTCAAGACAATGTCATGGACAAGATTAACAGCCACATTCAGGAGCTGAGCAGATGGTAAGTGCTCTTTATACAAGTTTTAAGTGCATCATTTTTACGTGTACTTGACTGGTTGTGTAATGTGTATGTCTGTGTCATAGGTGCTCAACCCACACATCCAGGGCATTTGTTCAAATCTAAGGTCTAGGTAACTTGACCGAATGTATATGTGTAACGAGCCCATCAAAGCCGGATATGGTCCGAGCCTCCGACCCTCTCAGCGGACTTCAGCAGGGTCCTGTTTCATCGGTGATAGCAGCACGCTTCTATCAAATTGCGCGAGCTGACGTAATGTGATGACGTCACACTAATGACGTTTCGTGCAATCCGTGAGCTTTTCCATAGCTACGTTTGGAACAGAGTTGCTGTCTCGTTGAATGCGTTTGATACATTCGCACGGCCGTGAAGATGTTAGCAGCAATATTTGATGACATCACACAGATTGACGATGGCATGGTTTGTTAATGTTTCCATGGAAACCCAATTTGACACGTGTGATAGCAGCGTGCTGCTATCACCGGTGAAACAGGGCCCAGGCTGCGGTAGGTCCACAAACCGCAGAATATCCCATCATTAGTCTCATGTATCGAGCGCTGAGGCGTGTCAAACCCGGGCTCCATCAACCGCTGCGTTGAGAGCGTCGTGCCCGCAGTGCGCCGGGGGTGCGACACTGGGATGCGTGACGGACACCGCGTATACGGTCTGTCCCTCAAATCACCTGTCATAGCCGGTGTCATCTGAGGACTGTTCACGGGCCCTGTGTGCGGTCGGACCGCACACAGCCTCGAAGCTCCGCCCACTGCGTCCCTACGTCAGCCTTCCGTCACCGCACACAGCGACCGCTGTGGCCGGTCGGGACTGGCCACAGCGGACCGTCCACCGCACGCAGCCGTGACGTCAGAACCGCCTACCCATCCCCTACCCCCACGCCTGCTGGACGCACCGCACGCAGCAGTGTGCGGTGCCCGTGAACACCCCTCTGGTGTCAGAAATCGGACACGTATTCTCGATCGACTGTCACCTGGCTGTCCAGTGACGTTAGACCAGTGACTGTCGAATAGCGGCCATATCCCGGCCAAACTGTTAGACTGTCACAGAGCTGCCTTGTCAGGCCGATGACTGTCAGATACCGGCGCCAGTTCCTGCGAACCTCGCTCATCCCGAGCACTGGGCACTGGACAGTGGGTGAGGGGTGAGGACCGTCCACGTCCGCAAGGAACTCGCGTGCTCAACTCGCTGTGGGTACTGGGTATGCTCCATTTGATATACTCCTCCCCCATCCCCCTCCCCGAATGTATATGTAGGTATATTGCGGGGGATCCTCCGAGCCGTACCGCATTATTGAGATGTCGTGGGTAATATGAACGGCACTGTTTTTATTCGGCACTCACTGCGTTGAACGGAATTTGATGTGTCAAATATCCCGGTGCGGGGGTAGTGCTGACTGCTGAGTCTTTGGAATGCCTCTCCTGTCGAGATAGTACTGTCTCGCGTGTCTCCTGGTCCTTGTCCCGTCGCCGCTTCACATGCAGCTGATAGTGGCGAGCCGGCCCGCCGGGCTGTGCCCAGCCGGCCCCCGTACCTCGTGACACCGACACGGCTCCACCGCACGGAGGTCATTGGTCTGTCCGGTCCACTAGAGCTGCTGCTTATCGGACGGGACGAGATACTTCCGTCGAACATACGGTGCTGGCTGGGTCATTTGGCTGGGACAGTGTCATAGTTCACCAGCTACTAACTGATACATTCATCAGGCTCAGTTGAGTAGGCACGTGTTTTGCAGACCGCGCTGCGTTGGCTTATTATCGCGTGGAGCGCGCTGCGGACCGGCCTTGCGGTAGCTCTGTCCAACCGTGCCCCGTTTATCGGACACCGGAGCGGCGGCGGCGCGCGGTCGCCAGGCCACCAGTCCACCGCAGCCGGCCGGCCGCCACGAGCGCCGCAGTCGCTGTCTGTGAGTGGTCGCGCGACGGTCGCCCCCTGTGGCTCGGTGAGCGGCGCTCGTGCAGCGGGTGTGTCGGCGGGCGGAGTTTGAGGGACGGCCCTTCCGCTGTTACGGAGTCCGTGGCGGCACGGAGGTTTATCGTGAACGGCAGAGCGAGGCCATGTTGAACACCGCCTGGGAGGTGGTCTCCAGCCTTTGGGGACCGAACGCCGGGTGAGTCGACAGACAGAGCGACTGCTGAGTCGGTCAGTGAAGCTGAGAACTGCTGACGATCCCGCCCACCCTGTCTCAGGCCGACGTTTATTCGCCGTTTGATTCGTAATCCGCCGAGTGTGGTATGGTAGTTGCCTGGCGTTGGGCTCCCATTCACGAGTTTCCGCAGGACCTACTCACACTCAGATGCTGACTCTGACTCCATCGCCCACCAGGACTCGAACTGGACTCTCGTCTTGTACTCGGCTCCGGTACCGAGCGGAAGCTCCAGCTAACGTTACACTCACTCCGCTCCATAACACTATGCAACAAAAAATGAAAAATTTTCTGTTCCTGGAAAGCGACCGAATTTTTCTTATTCATTGGGTCCTATTATAACCGAAATGGGCATTAGTTTTGATCTGAAAATGCTTTTCCGGTTTTCAGAGACGATTTTCGATTTTTGGCCCCGAAATTCGGTTTTTGGCCCACGGTGTCCGATGTAATTGAGTAATCGACTCGCGGTAACTTTCATCGCCTTTCCTATGCCACAAGCTTTCGAATGATATCTGGTTTTGCATATTTGCGTGCAAAAATAACGTCATAAATCTATGTTAAAGTAAGAAAATATTGAAATTTTGTAAAAATTTGACATTTTCTTCGATTTCATTTCAAAATAGAGGAAAAACTGAAGGCCCCATCCAAATTATGAGCCCAGTTCCTTGAAGAGCATTCAATTTCCGTTCGGAAGGTACCTTTTTAGTGCATTTTATCGGATTCCTGTGGGGTCCAGATTGAGTTAACCTAAACACATATCCTAAGTCATATCACATAGCATTAACCTGATAACGTATGTTAACGCCATAGGATCAACGAGGGGTCAACTGAGGTCATTTTGTTGACCCCTTGTGACCTCGGGTCACACGCAGGAACTTACTTTTGAGCAGTCCTGTCGCTCAGAATCTTGATCTGTTGGGGGCCCGTTTTTCAAGTGACTCAATCTGGACGCCACAGTAAACCGATAAAATGCACTAAAATAGTACCTTCCGAACGGAAATTGAATGCTCTTCAAGGAACTGGGCTCAGAATTTGGATAGGGCCTTTAGTTTTTTCTCTATTTTGAAATGAAATCGAAAAAAATGTCAAATTTTTACAAAATTTCAATATTTTCTTACTTTAACATAGATTTATGACGTTATCTTTACACGCAAATATGCAAAACCGGATATCATTCGAAAGCTTGTGGCATAGGAAGGGCGATGAAAGTTACCGCGAGTCGATTACTCAATTACACCGGACACAGTGGGCCAAAAACCGAATTTCGGGGCCAAAAATCGAAAATCGTCTCTGAAAACCGGAAAAGCATTTTCAGATCAAAACAAATGCCCATTTTGGTTATAATGGGACCCAATGAGTCCAAAAAAATCGGTCGTTACTCAGGAACAAAATGACTGTTGCATAGTGTATAATCACCCTTTGGGCTGCGGCAGATGAGAGTGTGCCACTGACTGGGGACAACCTGTCTCGGAATTGAACCGGATGCTTTCGTGCAACCTTCCCTGGCTTCTGTTTCCTTTCTCCGTCCTCACATCCGTTATCCAGCCTCTCGACCGCGGCTTTGTAGCTGCGATTCTGAATGCCGCTCTTGAACTATGAACCCCAGATAAGTGTTGCCATAATCAGCGAACCTTTCTTATGATGCTTGAGGGCATAACTATCATATATTTATGTATAAAACGATGTACACCTAAGATGTGTTTGATGACGTGTTTATTATTTTTTGTTTGTTCTGTCAATTAGTAGGAATGTATGAAGCTGTACAGGCATGGCGAACCTGGTATGGTTATCGAATATCGATAGTCCTCTAGTATTTACTTACGTAACGGGTCTGGACGATGACATTTTTCTATCAGAAGTTTCGGTGGATCTGCTCTTGGTTCTACCGTTATTCAGGCCAGGCCATTAGCAGTCGCTGATCCTGCTGATAAGACTAGCCCATGTCCCTTCAATTTTTTCTACATTGTTTTAGTTTCTTTATATAGCTAAAGAAATGATCAGCAACTATTTAAGCCCATGTGTAGTAAATGTTGATAAAATGCTCTAGCCAATGGTCTCGTCTTACTAATCTGCTCTTACCTACAACACCACTCTTATACACGAATTTCCTAATGGCAATTAGAGCACTCGACTTTCAAACCGGCATGTGCTGGTCTTCGTCTAGCAGGCTGGGGTCAGGATATAATTTCTCCTCGGCCCCTGCCATGTCATCTCAAGTTTCTCGTAACTAGCTATCTTGTTCACAGCGTGTCCATCTGATTCGCGTGCGGATCGTCTCCAGGCGGAAACACCGCGTGTGCATATCACTTGTGGCCGAGGTCAGACGGTGGTAAGCGGAGCGTATCAAGTGTCTCCGGGCCGCATTTTTGTAGGCGCACGGCGTTAAAACGTCCGATGCTAGTCTCCGAATCCATGCTAAGGAGCTATCTTCAAAGTTTTGCTAAGAGAGTGCTTACTTTACGGACGCTTGAACGTCCCCAGGCCTCGCCGGGCACAGGAAGTAATACAAAAGGCTCAGACAGTTCCAGGCTTATCCGAATTAACAGCACCGTAACTATGGCAGACGCTCCTGACATCCTCTGACCATGAGTCGCTGTGGTTGCTCGGCGGTAACCCCTCTGATGCCTGGCAGGGTGTGTCCGATCTGACCCGTGCCGAAGTTCCCGTAGGTCGGCATGGCTATTGATGTTTGGCAGTGTTTCCGCTTTTGACTCCGCGTCCCGGGCTGTTCGGTATGGCGGTCAGTGTGTGACTGCTTGGTGTACCGCTCCCCGTCGGGTCGGTATGGCGAGTGTGACCGGGGCAGGGTGTGACTGTGCCCGTTACCTACTGTGTACTGAGCCCACGCCCCGCTCCCCGGCAGGTCAGTATGGCGGGCCATCTTCCTGGGCCAGCTGCTGTCCGTACTAAACATGTGCACCGGAGTCACCAGTCAGCTCCTCACCGAAGAGTACAATGTCAGCATACCCACAGGTACGGGTCGGTACTGGCGAGTGCATATCATACCCCTCCCCCACCCACATGCGCCCAAACTCCGACGAACCGGTCTTGAAATCGCTTTTTCCCTTTATTGTGCGAAACAGCCCTGACGCTGGTGCTGTGTCGAGACGTCTCCTCCCTGTATGAACGGCACAGCCCAGACGTTTGTGTGTGTTAGTCCCCTGTTCAAATCTCCCCTCTCTGTTCCTTACAGCCCACACGACTGCGCTGTTTTACCCGCTGCTTAAACCTCCCCTCGCCTTCTAGCCCAGACGTTCGCCAACTACGTTCTGCTCTGCCTGCTGTTTACCACCTGGCTGGCGCTGCGCTCCGGCGACGAGGGTATCGCGGTGGTGCTGCGCCGGCGCGGCTGGAAGTACGTCATCCTGGCTGCGTTCGACGTGGAGGCCAACTACCTGGTGGTGAAGGCCTACAACTACACTACCCTCACCAGCATCACGGTGAGCTTTCGCACAGTCGGAAACGACCCTTCAGTGGGGGCCGGGGCTGTGAGCTGTGCCGGATGATAGCTGGACGGCAAACAAAAATGTGATTTTTTGTTTTGTTCAGCGTTGTATAAAAGCGATTCGCATGCCTAACAAGAAATCTTTTGTTCTGATCTCACAAAAAGATATTTGGATATTTCGTATTTGCATTATTTCGTATTTGCAATATTCTTGCAAGATGAGATGTTTTGCACTGTGCAGAGTGTAAGGATATGATCAGCACAATGTCGTTGCTAGCCATGCCGTCATTTCCTAGAGCGCAAACCAGTAACCACGCCTCGACTCCTCTGAGGTACTGACCGCGTCCGCCCCTTCGCGCAGCTGCTGGACTGTTTCGCCATCCCCACGGTGCTGGCCATGTCGTGGATCTTCCTGAAGGTGCGGTACAAGCTGCTACACATCATCGGCGTCAGCATCTGCCTGGTGGGCGTCGGCTGTCTGGTGTGGGCCGACATTGAGGAAGGCCGCGGCTCGGTCGGAGGTGAGAGACCCTGTCTGGGCTGTCTGGTGTGGGCCGACATTGAGGAGGGCCGCGGCTCAGTCGGAGGTGAGAGACGCTGTCTGGTCTGTCTGGGCTCTCTGCTGTGTCTGGGCTGTCTGGCCTTGTCTATGTGTGCTGGCTGGTGTGGGCTGTCTGGTCTGGATTCTATACTAGAACACTCATGGTGATTGATCTGGTCTAACCACCTGCTGGTCTATCCATCTGTGTCATTATATTTGCCAAATATTTGCAGCCCTCCCTTTGGACTGATCTCTCCCGCCTGACTGATCCCGCCCCCGGAACTGACGCTTCCCTCCCCTCCCCTGACGTTTCCCTTCCCTCCCGCGCCCTGCAGGCCAGGACCGGCTGGTGGGTGACATGCTCTGCCTGGGCGGCGCCACACTGTACGGCATCTCCAACGTCGGACAGGAGTTTGTCGTCAAAAACTTCAACATTGTCGAGTTCCTCGGCATGATGGGACTGTTCGGCAGCGTCATCAACGGCGTACAACTGTGAGTGGCCTGGCTCTAGAGATGTGACTGTGACTGTGGGCTCACAGGTGGGTGTGATGTGCCTGTGACGTTGACTGGTAGTTTTACGGGCAGCTAGCCAGGACGGCCTGCCGCCCATCAGTACGTTAGTTATTTGTATCACTCGTCACAAATTGCATTTTATGTCAGATCTCGATTCCACCAAGTGTTCTGGCCCTCTTTGTTAACCTACCGCTCAGCACGTTGATGTACCCGCTCCTCGTTCCCAGCACGCTGACCCGTCCCGCGCGGGTGCCCTGACTCCCTGTCCCGTCGTCTCCAGGGCGGTGCTGGAGCGAGACGAGGTGATGGGCGTGGACTGGAGCGACTGGCGCGTGGCCGCCCTGCTGGCCGGCTTCTCGCTGGCCCAGTTCACATTCTACGTGATGATGCCGGTGGTGGTGCGGGTGACCAGCGCCACCAGCGTCAACCTGTCGCTGCTCACCTCAGACTTCTTCTCGCTCATCGCCGGCATATTGCTCTTCCATTTCAAGGTGAGACGCGCTGACGGACTGAGGCCTGGGGAGGGGCAGATACGGTGCAAAATGGGACATATGTGAGACAGGAACAGAGGCTTTGGGTCCGACGAGACAGATTTGAGTGGCAGGGCTAGCTGCGAGGACGGGCGAGCTGTGCAAGGCCGGCCCCAGCCGGCCCTGAGGGGAACACCAACAACAAGCTGTGCAAGGTGGGACGCGATTCAGCGCCACCCTCGATTGTAGCATGGTACGACAGCAACTGCGTGGGACAGTGATGGGTTAATAGGATAGAGTAGGGTGAAGAGTATCTGCTTTCTTACAACAGAGAAAGTTCCACGGTCTGCATTGGGCGCCGGCCCAAATGCACCTCTACCCGGCGGCTACCCCTTGACAATAACCCCTTCCCCCATTTCTCTCTTTCTCTCTGCAGTTCCACGTACTGTACTTCCTGTCGTTCTTCCTAGTCATTTGTGGCATCGTGGTATACTCGTCCAAGCCGACTCCGATCCCCACTCGGGGAGACCGGCCGTACAGGTGAGAGGGCTGAGGGAAGGGAAGAGGGGAGAGGGTGACATGTTAGACGGTGAGCAGAATTACAAAGCGGGATTCTCTATTTGGCTCGTTAATGTAGGGTAAAAGAGGGAACTGAAACAATTGATGATTTGGCTGTTCAATTAGGGTTCAAGGATTCTCATTGTGAACATTCATTAGCTGAATATCAGTTTTATTGTTGAGAGCTGCCCATTGACTTTCACTCACATTCCGCTCCGACATGTGTCTTGTGACCCGCTATGACCCGCCCCCGCCTTGACCTGTGTCAGTGACCCTGCCCTGACCTGTGTCATTGACCCTGCCCTGACCTGTGTCTGTGACCCCACCCTGACCTGTGACTGTGACCCACCCTGACCTGTGTCTGACCCTGACCTGAGTGTGTATGATTCGCCTGGGCAGGGAGATGTCTCAGGGCTCCGCGAGCGCTGACGTGGAGCTAAACACGCCCAACACATCTGTCAACGAGCTGCCGCGCTCAGTCTCCGACGTCTCCAGCGTCCCATCCTACGGTGAGAGAGAGAGAGAGAGAGAGAGAGAGAGAGAGAGAGAGGGGGGGGGTCCCCTCTTAGTGAATAGTACTCCTTTCACCCTCACCTGGGCAAGGGGAAGGGAGAGTGGGCAAGCAAAAGGTAGACAGATAGTGGGAGGGAGGCAGAGGGAAGAGAGCAGGAGAGAGGTAGAGATTAGTGAGAGGGGAAAGCGACAAAGTTTCGTGTCCGACCCCCGTCTGACCCCCCCCCCCCCTCCCTCTGCAGGGACGCTGGTGCGCGACATGCACAGTCTGCCGCGCTCTCGCAGCATCCCGGACCGGCCGTACAACACGCTGGGCCGACCGTCGCGCCGCGAGGCGGCCGCCGACCGGCCGTACCGCACGCTGGAGCGCTCGCACGGCGGCGCGCGCGTCCACTGGGCCGCCGAGTACTCGCCCAACTTCCCGATGGAGTCTACCACCGAGGACCGCACGCTGGAGCAGTTCACCACGTTCAGCGCGCACCCGCACCCGGTGCCCCAGTACCGGCCCGAGGGCATCCTCAAGACGTCCAAGTCGCTGGAGACGCAGCTGCGCCGGCCGCCGCGCCAGTCGCTACACGTCAACCCGGCCGGCAGCCCGGTCAGTAGACGGACGGGGGACGTGAGGGGGAGGTCAGGGGACAGTGTCAGGTCAGGGGAGGGGACATGAGAGTTAAATTAGTGCGGGGGCAGAGGAAGGTGTCAGGGACTAGGATGTGTGGAGACTTGGAACTGGCCTATCGAGAGGCCTCAGCGTGGGGAGGGGTTAATGATGCCTGGGTCTGGTGTAGATTTTATAAAGTGTACGCTCTCCTCCGTAAAACAAGTTCTGTGCGACGCAATGATTGAAAATACCTAGGTAATCTTTTGAAAATATTTGAAAATCTTTAGGTCTGTAACCTAAAGATGACCGCTAGGTGTCATGTGACTGCGGCGATAGCCTTAAGAACGCTACCGTGCCTGAGACCGCCGATTGCCTATTCCGGCGTGCTGACCGGTGTGCTCTGCCGACAGTCCCCCGGCGGCGACTCGTCCCCCGGGCTGGAGGACGTCCAGTGCTGAGGGAGACTGAAGCACCCCGGCCAGTGCTGAAGGACCGGAGCACCTGTCTGCCCAGTGTCGAGGGACCGCAGCGCGACGTCAGCGCCCCTGGCGGCCACTGACGGCGTCACCGACAACGCTCCTACAGGGTAGCAGAGCTTAGTGGACATGTCATTTCTTTCTGTCGTGTTTATCGTGTGGACAAACATTGCTGGGGTTGGGCCGCATTCCTTTCGTACCTGATTTGTTTGATTGTGTGGCAGGCATTTGATGTGGTGTTTACTGTTTACAGTTTATAGGCAATGACGTATGGTGATTATTTGGAGGGGGATTATAATATCGCAGTGATATCCACTGGTCGGGACAGGCTGTTTATTGTGTAACACGGGTTCTTCGTATATCTAGCGCACATGTGCTCAATGATTTTCATCTTTATTTATACTCAGGGTGTATTGGCCCCTTCTTTGAGGCTCCTTTCATTGAAAGATCTCGCCGCTTTTCCAGTTACCCCCCCCCCCCCCTTTGCGATCCACCTCTCGCCGTGTGAAATGTTTCGCGCCGGGGGCTCCGTGTGTGTCGGGTCCCGGTCCGCCGGGGCCTGGGCCGCTCCCGGGGCGCCACGGTGCTGCTCACTGCCGCCGCCGCGCGGAACCTCCTGTACTCGCGGGGGACGGGCGGCGGCTAGCGTGTCGGGACTGAGAGGGTAGTGTGTGACGTGTAGGCGGGCAGCGTCGTCGCCCGGTAGTGAGTGGATGCAGAGTAGTCAGCACAGGAGAGCTCGCACGTGCCATAATTGTAGCAGCACCCGCGCGCGGCGGAGCGTCTGCCGCTGACCGTGTCGTGGTCAGTCCTAATGCTCGCGCACTACACGCGTTATCAAGGGAACAACGAGGCGGCGTTTATTCACGGGCCGCTGCGGTCCGTACCCGCGCCGCCCTCTCTCCCTGTACATAGTAGCGGGCGCCGGCCGGCCGGCCGCCCCCTCATCCTAGTCGCCGTTGCGTTGTAGCCGGCTGGGCGGCACTGTAGTGGGCTCCGGCGACAATCGGCGCTCTGTCGGCACCGGCGCGCGCCGCCGTCAGCGCGCGTCAGACGTGTTCCGAGCGCAGCCCGTTCCATGTAGTGTCATTTCATCCCGGCCGCCGCACTACCGGCGGCCGGACTCTCATCCCGTTTTTTTAAGAGCTTTAATAAAGGTGTCCTCGATCGATGATGTATTACAGATCACGTCTGAGGTGAGATACTGTCCGACATGAAACGATGCGTTACGTACGACGTCGGAAGAACGTCGCCTCACGGACATGACGTTTGCGACAAAATGTACACGGCGAACATGATTACACACTGCTCCGGCGAGCAGCGAGACAATTCCCAGTAACCCCCACCCAGCAGCAGGAGCGGTCACTTCTCCTCGTTCAAATTGTACTTGGCCTTCATCTTGTCCAGCTCCTCCTTCTTTTTGTCAGCGTCCAGCTTCTTGAAGGCCTTGTTCGGCTGGAAAAGGTTGGCCCGGTTTAGAATCGCGGAACAATGGAAACCATAGCTGATAGGACGCCTGAAGCAGACTGATCAGTGAGACTGTGAGCGACCGCATAAGGAAGCAAACTATGTAGGTGCGTCTGGTTGACAACAGTGTTTCCATCACTGTCATGCTTTCCTTCACACTTCATAACGACTTCGAATTCAGTATACGACCAGCCGTCGGTTCAACATAAAAATCAAAATTATTGGTACACAAGACTTAACCACGATCCCATCATTAAATAAACAAACAAAATCACACGTGGCCCATATCGGACATGTCCGACCCACCCCAACCCGTCACACGCCACAAATGCCGCCGCGCGGCCGCTGCTGGTCACCCACCTGATAATAGAGCACCACCAGGTACCGGTTACAGACGTTGAAGCCGGACAGGTGGTCGCACGCGTTCTTGGCGTCAAAGATATCCTCGTAGACGACGAATGCCGTGCCTCGTGTCTCCGGAGTGTTACCGCTGCCGGTCAAACGGGGAGGAGTCACACAGAGCCGGTCAAACGGGGTGGGCAGAGCACGCGCAGTAATAGCATGTGGATGACAGAATATCGCGTGACGTGACAGACTATGACGAACATGTGATGTAACTACGATTTTGACACAGTGGCATTGTGCTCAGATGATGTGACATATTGACTGATGCAAACAAATTGGTGCAGATAAGTGAGAAATGCATGTGAGAGATGCAATATCCAGGCTACCATGGTAATAAAAAACCCTGTGGCTGTACTGGCTCACTGGATGACTGTATGATACAAACTATAGACTAGCTGTCAGGGTGAATGGCCCATCAAAGGCCCATCAAAGGCCCAGCAGGAGAGCATGCGACATGCATGCCCTCCTGCTACTGGGATGGCTGTAACCAGCTGCCACTCCTGTCTTAGGAGGTCTTCAACATTGAACATTCTGAGTAGAAAAAAAAATTAATGCATTTCTTTTGGAACAGCCATGTGTTGACTCACATGAAATCATTTCTGATTTATGCTTTCTTTTCAAATGTTACTTTTACCTCACTTTTCCCAGAACAGCACCTATCCCAAAGATATCATTAAACACAACAACTATTAAAGTAGTAATGACTTACACTCTGATCTGTCTGATGGCACCAAACTTGCCAAAGATGTCGTACATCTCCTCAGCAGTGATCTTGTAGGGCAGGTTTCTGACATAGAGGACCCTGTTCACTTCAGGCGGCAGACGCACCTGTGCAGCAGGAGTACAACATGTTCATTAATCAAAGGTCAGCACAGTTATGCACATTGCACATCCAGTAGGCCAGTTATTTCTCCTTGCAAAATTGTCAAAACAGTCACTTTTCTCCAAAGAGTACAATAATTTCCACATAATGGTATGAAAAAGAGAACAACTTATTACATAGGTACCACAGATCGTCACAATTGTGAAACAAGCAACATTGGTAACAAACCCTTACCTAACCTGACCTAGTCTGGCCTACTCCTGACCTAGCTTTACCTAACCTATCTAACCTAGCCTTACATAATACAACCTAGAAAACAATTATGATGCACATCGTGCCAAGCTTGTCAGCAGTGAGGTTATTGATGTCTTACAATGCAAGTATTCAGGTCTAGTCTCACATTTCCATGCTAAATTAGTCTCTTTTCTCCTTTTTCATGTTTTCATTTTGCAAATTCCTCCAGTAGCTAGGATGTGCAAAATGCTTGTGTCACCAAGCCAGCTTTGTCCAACCATGCGCAAAATTTTGATGCAGAGCTATACCAGACGCTGCACTGAAACTTTGGCACCATCTGCACATTATGCCGAATATCTTAACATCTTGTTCTTGTTGGATTAGGGCGCGTAGCTGCCAGGTGAATATCTAGACAATAACTAACTTTTCCCAATCTAACGTCAACAAAGCTAAAATCATATGTAAATTAAGCAGCAGTCACAGGGAGATAAACATATTTCCCATAAAACCACATGTCAAATTAAAATTAAATGCACTTTAAAAGATAATAAGAAAACAGGCAAACTAGCAAAAAGTAAAAACATTGTGGATACCGTAAACCGGGGTGACTTTGTATCACTTTTGACCAGTTTGGTACAATATCTTGTATATCACTTGAGACTTCACTCTGGAAACTGTTTCATCATACCAATTGGACAATCTCTATCTAACTGAGTAAAATAAATGTCTTGAAATTTATCATAAATATTTTATTTTTTTACCAAAAAATTGATCATTCTCACCCAGAGGTCGGGGTGACTATGATCACTACATTAAAATCACCTTATGTGTGCCATAGGAGCCCTCAGAAGGGGCTTGTGTGATAAACTTACATGTTTTGAATAAAATCAAAGGCTTTGCTTGACAAAAACTCACACATTTTACAGTAAAACTATGAATCATTGAGGAATTAAAATAAAGTTGCATGCTCCGGGTCTAAACTCACATTACAGAGCTATAAGCAGCAAAATTAGCTACTTTAACCTCTGACTTCAAGATAAAGTAACAATCACAGATGTCCTAAGCCACAGGCTACCTGTTCTACATCACACTTTGTCTGCTGGTGGCTGTGGGACCACTTGCCACACTGCTAATGCCCCTCCCAGTTGATTGTCTTTTTCACTTCCCATTGACGCTCCAATTACCACTCAGATAGAGCAGCTCAATGCTTATCCTCCATCATCAGTATCTAAGCCTTTCCTTTCTCTTTCTTTATCTGGGTCTTTCTCATCTTTACCATTATTTTTGCTGGAGATGCTAGCGAATTTATACTTCATGCCAATGACAACAAAAAAACAAGCTGTGACATGAACATGATTATTCTAACTGGGACCCAAAGTGTCTGCTATAATGCTTCGTAGCTTTATTTAACCATTGGCATAGAAAATACAGTTCACAGCAGCTAAATGCTCATTTGAGGCCCGAAATTGGTCTATGATCAAAGTCACCCCGGGTATCATTGTCACCCCGGTTTACGGTAACTAATTAAGAGCTCGGAATTTATACTTACATTTGTTTTTCGTTGCAGGGCCATAGCCATGATTGGTGTAGTATCAGTACAAACAAGTTAAGAAATATGCAGTGTAAATATTTGACTTAATTACGCCTCCCTTTTCTTGGTCCACGTTATTCCGTAAATTCAATGAATAACCACTTATCTTGATCTACAAAATGAAAACGTTGCATGCGTAAATTATACGTGTATGCAGGCACTGCCAAACTATCTGTTCAGAATGAGGAAATATCAATATTTTTTGCAGCAATAGCTATCGTTGCCTAGCAATCTGCTCCAAAAAGAGTGGTTGCCTAGCATTTCGCTAGTCGAACTAGCTTGTGTTTCGCTATTGAACAGATGCAAACTCATGCGTTGTAAACGAATCAAGCGCGCAATATATTATATTTCTCAAAATTATTTGATACTTGACTGGTTTTTGTAATTGAATGAAAAGTCTAGTTTTTCAGTTTTGAATGATTTGATTTTTAACTATTGTAATTGGACCCTCGTTTTTTTTAAAGTAATCCAAAAATCGATGTTGTTTTCATAATGAACGAATTATATTACCTCTTGAGGCATTCCTAATCGTAAACAAGAGTTCTGCTACAACGCGAATTGCTGGCGAATCGTGTGAACCATTTTTTAAGGATATTTGTGTTAAATTCGCCTTATTTTTCCACTGTGATGTATTGTTCAGCAAATAAAGGAGCTTCGTTATAGTTTCAAGCTCACGGGTCATCAAAAAGTATGGTAAGTAAGTAGTAAGTACCTACACAACCAATCTTCGTTGTGTGACAATTGTCGCCTTACCAATGCTTAGGCGGTGGCTTAGGCACTAGGTATATGATATATACCGGCATTTTTTCGTGCGCAAGCCTTCAACCCTACAAACATTCGTGTTGCATTTATTTTCTCCATGCTGCTTCTGTTCCATAGCAGTAGCTTTCCGGACGTGCATTTCTTCGTATTCCTTCGCCTCCCCCCCCCCCCCCTCCCCGTCCCCCATCACCGGAATGCCGTCGAAGGGTTTGGGAGGGTGTAAGCCAGCGAGTAATTCCTTTGAAGGCATTTGAATTGATGAGAGCGAGTGGTATATAGGGCCTTGAGAGTTGAGCATAATGGGTGTGGGAAATGCACGGCAAATAGCAGTTCGAACGAATAGGTACAGTAGGTCAAGCCTTGACATGTTGACAGGCCTTCAACAGGCGTGGTGCAAGCACGGCCGATGGGATCGGGCAAATACCAGGCCACGCGGGACCGATTGCCAGCGTCCGCTCGCAAACCACACGCCGGAAATACAGGAATCACAGACACAACGGTCAATACGCACACGATAGCATACGTTATCTGAACTAGGGAATCCGACAATCCATAACCTCACTCTCGACCGGTGAACTGTTCCCGCCGTGAAATGTAACAGTTCACGGCGGGAACAGTTCACCGGTCGAGAGTGAGGTTATGGATTGTCGGATTCCCTAGTTCAGATAACGTATGCTATCGTGTGCGTATTGACCGTTGTGATTCCTGTATTTCCGGCGTGTGGTTTGCGAGCGGACGCTGGCAATCGGTCCCGCGTGGCCTGGTATCTGCCCGATCCCATCGGCCGTGCTTGCACCACGCCTGTTGAAGGCCCCGTCAGGCGTCAGTCACCGGTTGGGCACTACTGCTGATCAGAGCCGGGCAACAAAATAAAGGTTACATTATGG